GTCGAGGGTCCCAAGAAGACCATCAAGGCAAAGGTCCTGAAGAAGAGCATCTTCACCCCAAAGGCCAAGGATCTAGAGAAGACCTTCAGAGGCCAAGGGCCTCGGGGACGAACATCTTCACCCCAGAGGTTGATCTAGAGGTCGAGGGTCCCAGGAAGACCATCAAGGCCAAGGTCTTGAAGAAGAGCATCTTCACCCCAAAGGCCGAGGATCTAGAGAAGACCTTTAGAGGCAAAGGCCCTGGGGATGAACATCTTCACCCCAGAGGTTGAGGGTCCCAAGAAGACCATGAAGGCCAAGATCCTGGAGACGAGCATCCCCACCCCAGAGGCCAAGGGCCTAGAGACGAGCATCCCCACCCCAGAGGCCAAGGGCCTAGAGACGAGCATCCCCACCCAGAGGCCAAGTGTGACACTCCAAAAATTTAAATAAAAATAAAATTTATTAGTCAGATAAAATATTACGGAAATGACATTTTAATTATTAAGTAAGTCAAACAAAAATTCAGCAGTCGTGACATTCTAATCAGATAAAATTTCAAAATTTACGACATTTTAGTCAGATAAAAATATTTTAATAATAGAAATAACATTTTATTAAATAAGTGAACCAGACAAAAATTTAACATTTGTGACATTTTTAGTGTGATAAAAGTGGTCTGATAATAGAACTAACGTTTTATAACGGTTATACATATGGCGTAAGTAATAAAAGTTACATTTTTACTATTTTAATTTACACGTAATTTGTGTATAAAATACACAAATTACAAATTTGACTATTCTGATGTTAATATATACTCCTTGTTGGGATATTGGCCCGGAAGCCTAATACCCGGATTAAAGGCCCAGGATATCCAGCCCAAACAACGAGCCCACTATCCTATGAAAAGTAGGCCCAGTGAGATATTCATACCGAACGGGGTTCGGGTCATACATCATACTTGGGCCAAATCAACAATGTTTTACGCAGAGCCCATTATCCCGTTCGGGCAACGGACAACCAGCAAGTGGCCAGGCGCAATCAAAGCTAGATTGTGACATCAGCAATTGGAGGCATGAGTGATCAAGTCGGTGGAACGTCGGCCAATAAGCATAAAGTGTCCCATACTCTCCATTAGTATAAATAGAAGGTTTAATATCATTGTAAGGGTTAGCATTTTAATACTCAAGCCCTAGAATAGCCTTACTACTCTTGTGATGGATAGTCTACCCGGGGGTATGTATCTGAAGGGTTACTGCGGGGAGTAACTAGAGAGAAGTCAGAGCAAGTAAGAGAGAGAAAGTGTATTGAATATATGAGTTCAAAGCGTATTCCGAATCTGATTTACAAAGGGGAAATGAGGTGCTATTTATAGTAGTAATAAATGCCAGATAGGGACATGTGTCATCATTCTGGTGGTCGAGGGGTCACCTCAACGGGGTGGCACTGACACTCGCATGTGGCCGCATTAAATGTGGTGGTTGGATGTGACGTTTGTACTTGATACGTTGATCCAGCGCATGTGGGTGGGAGATTCTGTCGAGGGGAAGCCTTCGGCCGTGGATGATTGACCGAAGGCTCTTCCTTCCAGGGCCACCCTAGGTGATGAGGGCTCTAGGTGCCGAGGGCTGCTGTTTTTACTGTTTTCTCCCAGTGCCTTCGTACGCTGAAAATAGCCTTTCTGTGAGTATCAGGAGCCTTCAACCAAGGGGCCGAAGGCACCCCCAGTGTGTATTGTTGGCTGCTTGGTACTCGGGGCACTGTGATTTGGGCCTGTTATGCTTCCTGAGCCTATTGGGCGTTGGTTTAGAGCAGTAGGAGTCTATGGGCCGGGGGTCCCTGGACCATATACTCCATCACGAGTCCCTCACTCCTTTTGCCGAAAGGTACTTGAGGGAAAAGGAGTAATTGTGTTTGTCCTCTGCCGTTGTTCTGTTGTAGTTTGTAAAGTTTGTGAGTAGTTCGTTGTGTACATGTTTCAGCCGAGGGCAGTCTCTCAGTTACCCACATTTCGGGACTTGAGGGATCATGTTTGTTGTTGTGGGAGTTTTTTGATATTTTTGTATTTTGAGATTTTTCTCGAAGGGGTCCTCCAGTCCCCCACTCATTGAGGCACTTGCTAAGTGGTGAAAAGGAGTAGAGTAGTGCCTGCCTGCAATATGAAGCCGAGGGGTGACGCTTTTCGTTTCATTTTGGGGGGATGCCTCGTTAAAAACCTCATTAGACAAAACCCTGTGGGAAAAATTCTAATGAGGGAAAAAAGTACACCGGATTCCCCCAATGATGAATCGAAAAGGTGAAACCCTGGTCTGAAACGTGTGGCAGTGTTCTTGCCGAAGGCTATACTTGTCTGAGGGCGCGTGTGTTGCTTTGCCGAAGGCTCGCTTTTGATATCCTGGGAGATGCCGAAGGGGGCCCTCAATTCATGAGACTGAGGGGTGCGATGAATGTAGGTGATATTTCCTGTGTTGTCAAGGGGTCCCCTATTTGTTGACAAGTTGGGGCCGTGGTGCCCCGAGGGGTTCCCTTGTTGCGTGGCCAGGGGGACAGCTGATGAAGGTTCTCGAGGGGTCTACGCATTGTCGTGGGCTCCTGGAGGAGAAAGGCCGAAGGCACTTGTGATGTTGTATGAGGAGGAAGGCCGAGAGTACCTCTGTGATTTCAAAATGTAGCCGTTGTAATAAAGTCGTTGGAATATGTAACGCCGGAAATGTAGCCGTTGGGGGGGGGGGACTTCCACGTGGCGTGTATCCACTGGCTGTCTGCGGGCGGGTGTTCCCTGTTGGTGGAAGGGGCGGCGCGTAATGATGATTCCGGGAATAAGGGGCCTGGATTTCAGCCCAAGCCTAGATATTGGAGGCTATAAATACCCCATGGTCTGAGCTCCGACCCTTGTGCGATTTCATTTGTAGCGAAGCTCTGGCCAAATACTTCTAAAGAGAGAAACACCTGCCTTCGATCAAACCAATCTTCCGAGGTCTGTTCTTCACCCGTTCGTTGTTATATTAGCAAGTTGTAGCTTTGTGGCCTTAGGTTAAGTGTTTAAGCACTTTAGGAAGCCTTCTGCCTTTAAAACCCCCTCATCCCTTAGTTGTTGAAGATGTCTTCGCAAAGTGATTCTCAAAACGTTTCAAAGGAGCCTTCGGTGGAGGTCGAGAGTTTCTCTCAGGCGGAGTCCTCGAGCGAACACACCTTGGTCAACCAGGACCTTGCGGTGGCTGAGGAGGTACAAGCAAGCCTTCGGCTCGAGTTGGAAGCGGAAGAATTCGAGCATGTGTGCAAAGACGAGGAGCTGGCACTTGCTTTTCAAGTGGCTGAGGATGATGCCCAAAAAGAAAGCCTTAAGGTCACTATTGCTATTCCTCCCCCCCGGAATGATGCGGAGGCCGGAAGCTCTCAGCCATTGAACCCGACACCCATCAGCGTGGCCCCCGGGAGGAAGAGAAAGGCGAAGGTTGCCGCGAGGAAAAAACAAGACGCCGTCGACGCCGGGCAGCCAGTAGGAATTCCCGAAGGTTATTCCTACCTGAACACTGCTGCCTTGGACGTGAAGACCAAAGCCACACAGGGAGAATATATGGCGACACAGCTTTTGGTTGGGCCCTCGGCACAGGTGGTGGGTTTTTTTAATTAAACAGGTTAATTAATACAAGTGGGTTTTTGAGCATTCGATTATCCATCTTTTATATTTCTTTTACATACTGAATTATCGTCAATTTCCTGATATATCCAAAGTCTGTGTTGGGCTTTCGGATCAACGGGGTTAAACCTCAATATTGGCGCCGTCTGTGGGAAACTCTGAACAAAAAGTTTCACACCAAACAAAAAGCTATTTTCAAAATGGTTAGAATTACTTCTCATCACACCGGAGGAACTTCAGATAGACGTGGGTAAAGCCGGACCCCCCAAGGGCAATCCTGCTGGGGATCCTACCCACACTTTGATGGGGATTTTTTCATCCCCGAAGCATTAAGAAGGAACCCCCATGCCATGCGAGATTTGGCTCAGGTCATGCAACATATGGCGGATGAGCAGGATGGGGGACAGTCCAGCTACACCGGGGAAACTAGGTACACAACCCCATCCTTCAATGATGAAACCACCGATGCAGAAACAAGCACGACATCAAATCACTCACGAGCCCACCGGGGAGAGCGCGCAGAACACATGCGACCAGGGCAGGCAACCCACTCCTAGTGACCGCACCCCGACCGGGTCACGGGCCAGAGGAGATACGCCTATTGGCTGCCAGTTCCAGTGTGAAGAGCGTAACAATATGAGATTCGGGCAGAGACGTCAGAATCAAAGAACAACTCTGGTGGAGGCAAATCGTGAGTTTGTGAACTTGGGAACTCCACCACCGCCTCCCCTAACGGCCCAATAGGAAGAAATGGACGAGATGAGGAGGCAGATGAACGAAATGAAGGAACAAATGAACAGAGCCCCTCTGCAACCTACTCCAGCTCAGGTCGGAATCACTTCCCCTTTCACCCGGGGAATAATGAAACGGAGATCCACAGGGATGCCAAACCGCCGACCGGTCAGATATATGACGGGGCGGGAGATCCCCACGGACACTTGAGGAATTATCAAGGGGGACTTATGCTATTGGGAGCGTCGGAGTCGGCCATTTGCCGACTTTTCTTCAGCACGCTCAGGGGGGCTGCCCAGGAATGGTTCGGGACGCTGCAGCCCGGATCGATCGACAGCTTTGCCGAATTATCAGCATTATTCCTGGCCCAGTTTGCATCCAGTGCCACTCCGAAGAGGCATTTCAGTTACCTGCCTAGTATCAAGCAGGGCCCGAAGGAGACCCTAAATCAATTCCTCAAAAGATGGAGGGATGAAACCCTAAAGGTGGGGAGCATGACGGATGATACAGCCATCACCCTATTTACTAACGCTCTCCGAATGGGTGAATTGTATAAAGAGCTGAAAAAGAATCCGGATACGGTTTATTCTGAAGTACTAGACAGATCCCGGAAGCATGCAGCTCTGAAAGAAGAAATCCTGATCAGGGATAAGGTAGCTGCACCCCCTATGCCAATGAAACTGGTCGATCGGCTGGGTCCTATCCCAGCGGCCGCTCCACCTTCAAGAGCGGCACGATTCACTCCTTTGGTCCTTTCGGTAGCAACCATTTATCAGAACGAGAAGGACAACATTCCCCCTCTGACTGACACCAAAGGTTTTATGGGGGCAGATGAAAATGCTTTTTGCAAGTACCATAATAGGAACGGTCACTCCACCCAATCCTGTTGGGCATTGCAAATAGCCATTGAAAAATTGATCCAGATGGGTCATTTGGGTAAATATGTAAATACGGACCTGAATGCTACAGGTATTCTGAAACCGGTCAAGAAATCCAACAGCTGGAGGCGAGATGTACAACGTGATGCTCGCCCCAGAAATGATGTATATAACCCTCCCAGAGACGAACCGGAAGGTTCGGGGAACCCGGGTAAAAAGCCCAGGATGGAGGTAAAGGTGATAGTTGGGGGTAGGGAGACAGGCGACTCGAATGCCAAACGGAAGAAGTTCGAGCGAAGCCTGTACGTGGGTTCTGTAGCCATGCCACCCCAGAAGAAAGGAAGGACGGACCCCATCACCTTCGGGCCCGCAGATTTGCCAAACTCACCCAGTCCACACAGGGATGAGTTGGTTGTAAGTATGTGCATAGACGAGGCTTTAATTCGCCGGGTGTTGGTCGATAAAGGAAGCAGTGTGAACATATTGTACCTGCAATTGTTCGAGAAAATGGGCCTCCCGAAAAATCAGCTGACCCACCTGAGGACACCACTGGCAAGTTTCACCGGGAATTGCATCGAAGCAGAGGGGACCATCCAATTGATGGTTGAAATTGGAGATGAAACACACAGGGCATCAGTCCGATGATGTTCGTAGTAGTGGATATCAAATGTGCCCACAACGCCATTTTGGGCCGACCGGGATTGGAAGATTTGGAGGCGATAGCCTCTGTCCGCCACTCACGTATCAAATTCCCCATGGACACTGGGGTTGGGGTGGCCAGAACTGATCCAACTACAGCCCGAACGTGCTATCGGGAGGCCTTGAAAAACATGAATGCACGAGGCATGCGGGTTAACAACATTGAAGTCGAAGCCCGTCGAACGGAGTTCGAGGCACATCCTGAGCCTGCCACCCTCCTCGAGCAAATTGACCTGGATTCTCCCCCCGATCGGAAGGTGGCCATCGGGGCGGATCTGGTGGCTGAAATTCGGGAGGGTATAATAACAATACTTAAAAAGTTTCAGGTATTGTTTGCCCGAGGGCCAGAAGATATGTCGGGTATTGACCCGGACATAATTTGCCACAAGCTGGTCGTTCGATCTGATGCAAAGCCTGTTCAGCAAAAGAAAAGATATCAGGCGACCGAACGGCGTAATTTTACAAAACAAGAGGTGGCCACCTTGCTGAGGATAAAACACATACGACCAGTGATCCATGTTGAATGGTTGTCCAATGTGGTACTAGCTCCAAAGGGGTCCACCTGGAGAATGTGCGTATATTATTCTGACTTGAATAAAGCTTGTCCCATGGACCCATATCCGGTGCCGAGGATCGATCTATTAGTGGATTTGACGGCGGGATGTGAGCTCTTAAGCTTCATGGATGCGTTCTGGGGATATCATCAAATTTTCATGCACCCGGAACACGCAGAAAAAACAGCGTTTGTAACTTCGGACGAGGTATTTTGCTATATTGTTATGCCGTTCGGGTTAAAGAATGCAATGGCTACTTTCCAAAGGATGATTGGAATGTTGTTTAAAGAAGTATTGGGGGTCACAATGGAGGCCTATGTTGATGACATTCTGATCAAAAGCCGGAAAAAGGAGAGACATGTCCTGGATATATAAAGGGTGTTTGGGATAATGCAGAAAGCAAACATGAGGTTGAACCCCAAAAAATGTGCCTTTGCCGTTATGGGGGGCAATATTTTGGGATACATGATGAGTGAGAGGGGCATTGAGCCTAATCCTGAGAAGGTAAAGGCGATCATGGATATGGATTCTCTAAGGAACCTGAAGGAGGTTCAGAGATTGACCGGTCGATTAGCAGCCCTAAGCAGGTTCTTGTCCAAACTAGTTGATCGGGCAATTCCATTTTTCCAGATCATGAAAAAAGCAAACCCCTTTGAATGGACTGCCGAATGCCAAACGGCCTTCGAGGAGTTCAAGTTGTATCTATCTTCTCCCCCGGTATCTTTTCCAGGATAGAAAATCATGAAGCAGATATCTTATCCAAATTGGAGAATGCAGCTCTTGATGACCGTGCACACATGATCCCGGCTCACATCCAGCGGTTTGCTCATCGGGAAACCCTAACAACACCAGTAACTATGGTCCTCCAGGTAGAAGCCATCTCTTATGCCGTTCCCAGTTGGGTCATAGATATGACCAACTACTTAAAGGACGGGACCCTCCCACAAGACAAAAATTCAGCATATAATATGAAATGCATTCAGAGGAGGGCCTCCATGTTCGAACTGGTGGACGGGCAGCTGTACAAAAAGACATTTGGAGGACCATATCTGAAGTGCCTACCACCCGGTCTAGCAGCGGCGGTAATGGAAGAAATTCACGAAGGAATATGTTCCAACCATCAAGGGCCTAAAACATTGGCAAGAAAAATCATCCTGCAAGGATACTACTCGCCAAAAATCCAACAAGACTGCTTTGCTCATACCAGAAAATGCAAGATCTGCCAATTGTATGCACCGATCCCCGGACGGCCAACTACTTTCTACACCCCAATGACAGTTGCCCTTCCATTCGCCAGGTGGGGGATCGACTTGCTAGGGCCCCTACCTACTGCTCCCGGAGGACTAAAATACATCATCGTCGGGATAGATTATTTCACCAAGTGGGTGGAGGCCAAACCACTGGCAAGTATTACAGATTTCAAATGCCAAAAGTTCGTCGGGCAGAATATCATTTGCCGATTCGGTCTCCCCGAACAGATCATCCCAGATAATGGCAGACCGTTCGTGAGCAGGAACTTCGAAAACTATTTGGTCAAATGGCAAATCAAACATTCCAGAGCGTCTGTAGCATACCCTCAGGCGAATGGCCAAGTAGAAAACATGAACCGTACCATTATGGATGGTATGAAGAAAAACTAGAGCACTGTTCCTCCTCATGGCCGGACCAATTGAATTATATCTTGTGGATATACAGAATGACACCCCAAACGGCTACTGGAGAGACTCCGTTTGCCCTTACCTATGGATTCCAGGCTAAAGTTCCAACAAAAATTCTGGTTCCCACACAACGAACGGTACATTATCACCCCGGACGCAATGAGGATAATCTACGGGCCGAAATGCACTTCATAGAGGAAAGGAGGGACTTAGCTGCAATATGAATGGAGGAATATCATAGAGCGACAAGGAGATACTTCGATAAACAAGTGAAAATCCGATCGATCGAAGTAGGAGACTTGGTCCTGAAGAAGCGGGAAAAGAGCAAACCTCTCGAAGGAGGAAAGATGGCACGAAATTGGGAAGGCCCTTACGAGGTCTACAAAAAATATGCTTCAGGAACGTTCGGTCTGCAATCTACCGAAGGTCGACCGGCACGGGCTTGGAATGCAGAGCATCTAAGGAAATTTTATCAATAAAAACGGTTGTTGCCACCTCTTGCAAAAAAAACAAAAAAAAATGATGAGAGGGAGACATAACTTCCAGAGAGTCTCACCTCAGCTTTTAACATGTATAGTCACTCCAAATGAATAAATGACTTCCGTGTTAACAGTTTGGAGGGAGCCGCCACCTCAGCTAAAAGATTTTGACCCTGTGATCACGAACGGTAAAGGGATCAAAACGGCTTGGAGATGGTGTCAGAACAAGTATTGTCAAGACGAGCGATGTTCGGTAACATGGATTGTCGTCCGGGGAGGCACTGCTTTCAGAAAGTCTCACCTCAGCTTGTTAACACGTAGAATCATTCCGGATGATAGAATGACGAACGGGTTAACAGTTTGGAGGGAGCCGCCATTTTAGCTTAAGTAAGAAATCACTCGATCTAGTGATCTTGCTTACAGTTTAAAAGTGGTCACCTCAGAACCCTAACATGGATGATACGAATCGGAGGAAATTCTTCGGAATGCATCGGAATTATAGGTTTGGAAGGGAGAGTCTCAATCAGCTTTTAACACGTAGAATCATTCCGGATGACCGAATGACGAACGTGTTAACAGTTTGGAGGGAGCCATCATTTCAGCTAACACCTTTTGACCCTGTGATCACAAACAAATAGAGGGACCAAAATGGCTTGGAGGAAATCACCTCAGCTAAAAGATTTTGACCATGTGATCACGAACGGTAAAGGGATCAAAACATCTTGGAGATGGTGTCAGAATAAGTACTGTCAAGCCGAGCGACGTTCGGTAACATGGATTGTTGTCCGAGGAGGCACTGCTTTCAGAAAGTCTCACCTCAGCTTGTTAACACGTAGAATCATTCCGGATGACCGAATGACGAACGGGTTAACAATTTGGAGGGAGCCACCATTTTAGCTTAAGTAAGAAATCACCCGATCTAATGATCTTGCTTACAGTTTGAAAGTGGACACCTCAAACCCCTAATATGGATGATACGAATCAGAGGAAACTCTTCGGAATGCATCGGAATTATGGGTTTGGGAGGGAGAGAGTCTCACCTCAGCGTTTAACACGTAGAATCATTCTGGATGACCGAATGACAAACGTGTTAACAGTTTGGAGGGAGCTATCATTTTAGCTTGCAGAATTTGACTCGTTCAAAACGGCTGGGAGATGATGTCAAAACTAAGTGTGGATGAATCTGAGTCGCGTCTGGGAAGAAAGAAAGAAAGAGAAAAAGAGAGGCATTTGAAAAGACAAGATTATGTATAGAATCGAGCTTTATTCTTCGGCACTACTGGCCGGAAAGTACAAAGAAAACAAGAATAACATTACAAAGATGGACTAGTCTATTGGGCGATTGCCGTTCAGGGAAGATTGAGGTTGAGAGCTGCCGGCCTGCGCTGCCTCATCAGAAATTGCTTTCTGTCTCATCTCCATGACCCGATCGTAAGTATTCCCGAACCGGTCAATAAATACCAACTCATCAGGATTGAATGGCTTGGGGAAACGTTTCATGATCAGGTCGAGGTTCCTGTCTAGAAGCAGATCTTGACTTTGCTTCACAGTTTTCTCCGTCAGGACATCCAAGAAAGATTTCCCTTCGGGCGTGCTATCCAGAATCTCTATCCCCGACTTGATCGGGTCCTCGCTCTCACGCAAGAATTGGCCAAGATGAGGTCCCAAAAATTGTCGAGCGGTGTTCTGTAAAGCGATATCCAATCCTTTACTGCGTTGATAATCGATCAAGGCCTGATTGGTGATCTTGGAGGTATTGGCAGTATACGGCTCGGGAGGATTATCTCCCTCTGATTTATCAAACTGCATCCCAGCGGATTCAGCCACTCTCACCTTGGCTCTGAGATATCTAATTTCTCGATCACGACGCTGGACCCTCTCCTCCTCTTAGCCAGATCAGCCTTCGTTTGTTCACCTTCATCAACACGGACTTGCAGATCTGCAGCCAGTTTCCGAGCGGCGGAAAGGAGAACCTGGCTATCTTCCCGATCATTGGTTATATGCTTCATCTCCTGTTCAGCAGCCAGGAGGGCCCGGTGATAGTATACTCCAACCTACAAACAGTAAAAAAGGAAATCAGATAACATATACTAAATCAGAAGAAAATCAAGGTTTTAAAGGGGTTGATGATTGACCCGCACCTTGAGAGTCTCCAAGTGACCTGCCTCGACCAGGTCAGACCAATGGGTCAGAGTAGAAAAACTGGGTGGAACCTTCAGGGAGGTACTGCACCACATAGAGGCTGGCATCTGCCCGAACATGTACATTCCCTCTGCTCGGGGCCCCATATTGGAAAACTCCACAAACATTCGATCATCGACCGGTGTATTGTTAAACAATGGAGTTTGGGGTTGGGCAAGGATGATAGGTTTTTTCAGCTTGTCATCTGGACCGGTCAAATCGACCACGTGATCGATCAGGATCAGTATGGTGCCATCATTCCCTCTACGTTTCTTCCGGGTTTGCTCAACAGATGCATGATCGGCAACCATTTTCTCCTTACCATTTTCAGAGGAGACAGTCGGGGTGGCGGCAGATATGGAACGACGAACGGGTATAGGGGATATCACACCTACAAAAGAGGGAATAAGAAATAAGAAACTAAATTGAAAGAAGATCGATCGGGTTAAAAATTTGTTATACTTACCAATTCCGCCAGCTAGCATCTTGGAAGGGGTAATAAAACCCCGAAGACTCCGAGTTCCCTCCATACGTAGAGATTCGGCTTGAGAGCGCAGAACGGCATCTATTCTGGGCTCAGAATCCCAAACGGGGTAAGCGTTCCACCGATCAGGGAATGAGAGTGAAACACCCACACGAACAAAGAGGAACTGTTCCTCCCAATCAGCCGGCGGTGTGGGGTTCTCTGTAAACAATTCACGGTCCATTCGAGCCACCAGCTTCAGATACCCTGTCGTCCAGTAAGGTTGATAACAGTAGTGATACAAGAATAATTCAACGCTAGGAGCAATACGCAGTTCGTGACAACGGATAATGAACCCGTTCAGGATGTGGTATGTGTTGGGGATGAACTGAGCCGGAAGTACGGAGACCCGGCGCAAGAACTCCATAATGAATGGATATAAAGGGAAGCGAAGCCCAGCAATCAGAGAATCTAGGTGCACAATAATGTGCCCCGGTCAGTGCCTCATAGGATGCCTGATGAATCCGGCATGAAATTCTCTAGGCGGAGGCAACAGTTGGCGATGTTGCCGTTCGGCGTCTTTAGGAAGACGTTGTTTTTGTTTGCGAATACGGGTGAAGTGCAAAGCAATGCGGGGAGGTCGTTCGGGCATTCCCTTGTTATAGATCTTTAAGTCATCTCCCGAAAGGCATCCGTCGTCAAGAGGCTGTTCAGCATCTTTGGATACGGGAGGATTAGTGGAAATCAGGGCTTGGGAAGAAGAGCCTTCGGCCTTGTTTACAGCAGCGGTTTTTCCTCTACGAATAAGCAGCATTTCTTCAGACTCTGAGCTAGAAGAGAACATAAAAGAGCACTTAGTAATTCAAGTAAGCCTGAGAATTCTAGAGAGAGAAAGCTTAGAGAGACGCAAGAAGAAATTAAGGAAGCAACAGAAAAAATGAAAAGAAACACCTCTATTTAGAAGCAAAGATGCCGCCCAAAACCCTAACCCATGGAGAACACGTGGTAAAATGTGGTTGTATGAAATTATGGCACATTTATGGTAATTAAGCACGTTCCTCGAACGATTAATGGGTAATTCATGAAGAACGGGTTAACAGTTTTTGGGGAAGCCATCCTAAAGACACCAAATGATGAACGTATTAATGGGCATCCCGGACCAGGGTCGACATAAGCCGTAAGTTGGAAAAAAATATCTTTAGATACCCCGAACGTGTAGTATTTGAAGAACAACAGATAAAGATCGGTGGGATGGGGAAAATTTAGAATCCGGGCGAGTCAAAAGATAGGGGCATCAAATAAACCGAACAGGGTTTCTATTAACAATTATTTGGAATAGGTGGAGCATCAGAAACAAAAAATTCACCAAACGACTAAGTCCTACAGAAATATCTGAAGCCCGAGCGGCAATCGACACAAAAAAGGGGCCAAGTCCTGGTAAATTGTGAGAACTATCTGAGGCCCGAGCGGCAATCGAACGGTGATAGGAATGTTAAGAAAAATATGAGGTCAGAAAAACTGCTAAGTCCTATAAAACGGACCGAATCCCGAATGGTAAGAAATAAATCAATAAAGGCAAGAAAGACAATATGTGAAGCTTTGTGCAAAAGAGATCATATATATTCATCGGCTCTATCGGCCGGAAAGTACAAATGGGGTTTGCAAAAAAGGAGAACGGGGGAAGGGATTACAGTTGCTAAAATACGAAATTCTAAATCTACTGGCCAGAGGCCTCTCTATTTCTCTTCTTCATCGCCTTCCTTCTCATCCGAATCAGTAGGGGGATCAGGCTCTCTCCCCGCTTCACGATCAGCAACCTGTTGTAAGTCCCGTTGATATTTCTCAAATTGGGCTTCAACGATGGGCACCTGGGGAAGATCGATAAGCTCGATCGGCCTCCCTAGCATCTCTTGCATCTTGGCCACAATGGGGGCCACGATATGCTGGCAGCCCATAACATAAAGAGATCGGGCCAGAGAGTCATTGAATTTCTTGCCCCTTGGATCCTGGTCGAGTAGCTTAACCCCCTCGCTACGGCGAGCATCACCCGTGGAAAATCGATCTAGATAAGCACCGAAGGTGGCTGGGAGTTCCTGCTGCGCATAATATTTCTTCAAGGCAGCAAACTCCTCAGACCCCTTAAATGCCTCCCGGACGGCAGAAAGATCGACCTTCACCTCTGCAGGACCGTCCAGGATACAGGGAGCGGTATCTTCGAACTTCACCAAAGCAACTTCAGCAGCGTAGACTTTGACTTGGAAGGCCCCGAGCTGGACCCTGAGCTCACCAAGCTCTGACTCGAGGCGTTGCTTCTCCTCCACGGAGGCCTTCCGTTCGGTCTCCAAAGCGGCAAAGGCAGCAGCTGCATTCTGCTCCGCAGAGGTCTGAGCGATGATCAGGTCCCGCTCTTTATCCAGTCGAGCCTCCCTCAGTTGCAGACTGTAGAGCCCAACCTACAGAATGTCGTTCGAGAAGTGAGATGGTGTAAAACAGAATTTAAACTATGAGAAACTATAAGAAAAAAATGAGATACCTTCAGAGCTACCAAAGCCAGGCATTCTTCGGATTGCTCGACCGGCATCTTAGGAACGGCAAAATTGTTGAACCACGAAGAAGTGGACCAAATCAGGCTTGCAGGAGAACCAGCCTTCTCCAACATTTCGTGAACTGGACCTGCCAGAGAGATCCGTTCGACCTGCGTAGAAAGGTGGACGGTGTTGGTCTCACCTGCAGTCATGTTAGTCTCCTGAGCAGCCTGGAAATGCTCAGAGAATTGATGCAGCTGATCAAATCCGAACCGATCTTCGATCAGCGTGGCGTCAAATTGATCCTGATGAGGGACCTGTTGAAGCGGCTGTGGCTCTTGAACGGGTTGAGAAGACCCGACATCTTGAGCAATATAATGGTGGTGGATGGATTGGGTTGGGGATTTTTCCTTGCTTTCTTCCGTTTCCCGACCCCACCGGCTGCTAGAACATGACTGTTGTCCATTGGTGCGTCTAGATCGGGAGCTAAAAAATAAAAAAGGAAAATGTTAGTACTGAGCGGCCTTATCATGTGGGAAACAAAGAAGAAGAGAACGTTTCTCGCACGGGAAGGACCGCCCGGACCATGGTACTTGATTCTCAAAACAAGTAAACCCAAGAGAACGGGCAGTACCTATCTCGGTTTCGACAAGCCGATCGGGAGTTAAGTAACTCATGAGATCACAACATTTGTCTTTCTCCACAGTGAACACATCCTTGTAAATTTCCTCAGTAAGGACTGGATCGAGAGATTTGCGAGGGAAGGCATTCCATTAGCGAGGGATCAGGCCGTCCGGGACAGACACAAAGAAGAACCAGTCTTTCCACCCCTTGATTGAAGTCGGATTCCCCTTAAACATGATATGTCCCGTTCGGGCACTAGTAGCCAGATATCCATGTGTTTGTTGGGGGGCCACTTTAAAAAATTGATGAAATAAGTCTAGGGTCGGCGAGGCACCGACATCTTTACAACGGCAAATAAAGCCCACCATTGCCCGATAGGAGTTCGGCATGAATTGGGCCGGTACAATTTTGTAGAAATTGAAAAATGAAACGAAAAAGGAATGCAATGGAAACCTAAGCCCAACCCTAACTGAATCGAAGTGGACTACAACCATCCCAGGGGTATGGCGCATTGGGTGAAGCGCAGCTTGCAATCGGAAGTCCACTGGGTCTGGGATTAGGGCCGGGATTTCGGCCCTGTTGTGAGAAGTCAATTTTTGCCGCCTCTCCCTAATCAGTCTTAGGTCAAGCGTGTGACGAGAGAAATCGCTTGGACGTCCGGCTGCCATAGAAGCCAGTTCATCATCAGACTTGGTGTCGTCGGAATCTTCACCGGAGGAAGAAGAACTGTCGGAGGAATCCTCCGTCTCCGCCCTAGTCTCCGTCGTCGCCGCATCGGAGCCGTCAACAAAAGGGACGGTGATAACCTCCACATCATGGTATTCCCCTTGGGAAGCCATTTACGAATCGAAACGTAGTTGAGAACTCATATCGATCGGATCAAAGAAAAGAGAGAATTAAGGGATGAGAAGTACCTGGACACGAAAGGCTTGAAGACCAATCCAATAGAGACGCGTCACTTGAACCATTTGAAATAACATGTGTCGCATGGAAGAGCAAAGATCAACAATCATGACGAATATGGGAAAACTCAAACGATAGCCGTCAAATCACAGTATGGGGAACTGACCATTTCTGTATCCCGATCGCCATTTATATTAGAGCACTTATACTTCCTAATGCACTCACTATCATTCGAGACATCGGAAGTGGGGGACTCGTGTTGGGATATTGGCCCGGAAGCCCAATACCCGGATTAAAGGCCCATGACATCCAGCCCAAACAATGAGCCCACTATCCTATGATAAGTAGGCCCAGTGAGATATTCATACCGAACGGGGTTCGGGTCATACATCATACTTGGGCCAAATCAACAATGTTTTACGCAGGGTCCATTATCCCGTTCGGGCAACGGACAACCAGCAAGTGGCTAGGCGCAATCAATGCCAGATTGTGACATCAGCAAGTGGAGGCATGGGTGATCAAGTCGGTGGAACGTCGGCCAATCAGCATAAAGCGTCACATACTCTCCATTAGTATAAATAGAAGGTTTAATATCATTGTAAGGGTTAGCATTTAATACTCAAGTCCTAGAATAACCTTACTACTCTTGTTTCTTGTATTAAGCACAAATCCGGCGTGCCGTTCGGGAAATTTCCTTGTAATCAAACAGGTTAATTAATACAAGTGGGTTTTTGAGCATTCGATTATCCATCTTTTATATTTCTTTTACATACTGAATTATCGTCCATTTCCTGATATATCCAAAGTCTGTGTTGGGCTTTCGGATCGACGAGATTAAACCTCAACACTCCTAAAGTCCTAATACGGATATATATACTCCTAAAGTCCTAAAGTACACCATAACTATGTACATGATAACATACTATGTATATAAATATATAACACGTATTATACCTATTGTATAACTACCTACGTAACTTACCTACAAAGTACGAAGTACATAACAATAAATAAAAGAGTTAATGCCTCAAATAGGACTAATTACAAAGTTAATTGCACATATAAGACTATAAACGAGGCCCAAGTTTGATAGGACCAATTTCAACTTAGTTGGACAAAAATAACCATGTTTTTTTTTTGAAAATGAAAAATAAAAAACTGTTGAAACCCTAAATTGTAAAAAAGCTAGCAGTAGAATGCCAGAGTCGGAGCCGCCCGCCGCCGCCGACTGCCGCTCTCCTCGCCGACGCCGTTGACTGCCGCCGCCGCTGCCAACTTCCTCCACCGCCGACCGTCGTTCTGGCTAGGCCCCGCCGCATCCCTGCCGGCACATCGTTGCCATCCGTCGCCGCCCAAACGGCGTTTCCATCCGCCTCCGCCACCACCATCCTATCCTCGTCATTGTCGCCAGTGTTCAATCCAGGGCCATCACTTCACCTCCGAGCACCACCATCGCAGTAAATTTGCCATTAAGTTGGTAGATTCGACCTTGAAGAGTACTTACAAATCTCCCTTGAGAACAAATTTTCAGATCTGCCATAAATTTGGCATATTTATCTTCACTGATTTACACAAAACTGCCATAACATTGGTAAAATATGAAGTCCACAACTAAATTTTCAAAAAAAAAACAATAGAACAATAAATTTGGCAAAATCGTATGTCATCATCCAAAAAGTGTTTTGCCATAATATGATTGTCAGAGTACATTTCTGCCATAAATTTGGCAAAATAGTATATCATCATCCAAAAATATACCATAAACTTGGCAAAATCGTATGTCATAGTCCAAAAATCTGGAAACTGGATTTCTTTTATAATCAAGAAATCAGGAAACAGAAATTTGAAATAGAAATCCAAAAATCCACAAATTGAATATCAAAACTAAAAAATTAAGAAATCTGAAACAAAAAGTCAGAAAATACAAAACAAAATTCCCAAAATTGGAAAATCAGTGTCAAAAACTAGGAAAACATAAGAATATGAGGAAAACTAGAAAAATCAGTGGCAAATCTCATTTAAATAGAGGAATAGGAGAAGGATGAGGGGAAGGAGGAGGAGATCGAAGAAGAAGAGAAGGAGAAGAAGAAGAGAGGAAGAAAAAGAAGAGGAAACCTGTGACAGCGCATGGCGAAGTCGGTAGTGATGACAGCGACCTGAGGCGGGAGAGTCGGCGGTGGCTGCAATGCACGAAGAAGATGGGATGGGGAGAAGATGGGATGCAGTTATATCTTTGGGGTGTGGAGAAGTAATCGTCGATCTATGAGTGGGAAAGGGGAGAGAGAATGTGTAAATGGATTCAAGGGCAAACCTGGGATGCTAATTTTCATGTTTTTAACGGTAGGAGTAAATTGGTCCTATATATTAAGGGAAGAAAACATATCAAGTCTTATTTTTACATTTCACCTTTGTTTTAGTCCTATATGGGGCAATTACTTTAAATAAAAAATAAACTTACGGTAAAGATAAATCAAAACTACCATATATATAGATAGGAACGAATATACAAGCTAAAATGGTCTACATTCAGAAACGTTGGTAATCACGCTATGCTCCTACGATAAGTTATGCATGCGAAATGCTAGGGTGCTGTTTTGATATATAGATATATCATATATAGATGATTACCGTGAATTACACTCTTCAACTCATACATATATATACATGTATGTATATAATTTTCTATCACTCGATATACCGAAAAACCAGAACTGAAATATACCCTCAAACCTTCGGCCAGTGAGAAAGCAAGAGACCTAGAGTGATAGAATGAGAAACAATCGTGAGGACAGGAAGCAATTGCTCGTTGGAGTTGTTGAATTGTCGGACTGGTTCTCACGCCGGAACCAGGCTGTTGTCATTGGAGGTGAAGTGTCGCCGACGATGCTTGCTGGTCTGCGTCACTGGATTTACACGCCGGCTTTGGGAGATGGTAGAACCCGGTCATCCTAGTGTTCACCGAAGTTGAGCAACGGAGGAAGACGGATCTACACCTACGGAGTTCACCAATGTCTGAAAAAGATGCCGCCATCGCAGGAAGAACTGACGATGCCTGTCAGGCATAGTTGTCATGGCGTCGCCAAGGCATCGTCTTATCGTCGCCACATCGTCGTGGCGTGAAGAGAGGCTCGCCACACGTTCTCAACTCGCCATAAAGCTTGCGGCATCGACGCATCGTCCTTGTGGCGTCGGATGAACGACACAGACGCCACTAGTAATAGTAATAGTAATAGTAATAGTAATAGTAACAGTAGCAGTAGCAGTAGCAGTAGCAGTAGCAGTAGCAGTAGCAGTAACACTAACAGTAACAGTAACAGTAGCAGTAGCAGTAGCAGTAGCAGTAGCAGTAGCAGTAGCAGTAGCAGTAGCAGTAGCAGTAGCAGTAGCAGTAGCAGTAGCAGTAGCAGTACCAGTAGCAGTAGCAGTAGCAGTAGCAGTAACAGTAACAGTAACAGTAACAGTAACAGTAACAGTAACAGTAACAGTAACAGTAACAGTAACAGTAACAGTGAGAGTGACAGTGAGAGTGACAGTGAGAGTGACAGTGAGAGTGACAGTGAGAGTGAGAGTGAGAGTGAGAGTGAGAGTGAGAGTGAGAGTGAGAGTGAGAGTGAGAGTGAGAGTGAGAGTGAGAGTGAGAGTGAGAGTGAGAGTGAGAGTGAGAGTGACAGTGAGAGTGACAGTGACAGTGACAGTGACAGTGACAGTGACAGTGACAGTGACAGTTACAGTTACAGTTACAGTAACAGTAACAGTAAGAGTAACAGTAATATATAGTAATAGTAATAGTAATACTACTACTACTAATAATAATAATAATTAGAATAATAATAATAATAATAATATAATTGATAAATTTGAGATGAGAATTATTAATGGTGGAATTGACTTGATTAATTAATAGTAATCACTTGGATAAATTTGTTAATTGTTAATTAACATAACTACATAATGTTAAATAATAAAAAGGAATTGATGGTTAATTAATAAAAACTGATAAACGAATATCGTATTTGGACTTAGTAACATGAGTAGATTAATTAAAGTTGGATAGATATTATTTTCACTAATTATTGGACTAATTGAAGTAGATTAATCAAATTAACATAATTACGGACTCGGAAATATTAAGTGTTTGCGTAAGCGAATAAAACCGGATTAAGTTAATCATGATTAGTTTGTTTAAATAAATTGTTATAATAATCTGATTTATTAATAATGTTGATTAATATAAATTAGTGTAGTTACGAGATTTGAATAGTTTAATTAAAAATAATTCGGATATGTTTCCTATATTTCAATGATATTAAGATATAATTAATGTTTTATGAGTGGAGTAAATTAATGGTGATTATTAAATTAAAAATTGGATATTGTAGTTAATTATATTCGGATATTTTATTTAATTATAGAATTCAAATATTGTCATTAACGGCTGAATTAGTATGGTAATTTAATTAATAAAAAGTGATTAATTCGGATAATTAATTAATTAAATTAATAAATTCGAATAAGGAAATAAAAAGGGGAAAATCGGGTAAAATAATTACAAATAGAATAAGTGACTAATTATATCATCTTAATTAAAAAGGTGAATATTTAGAGACTGGAATTGAAGAAGAGAATTAGTAGCATCGGAACTTAAGGTAAGTTTCACGTCAACCGAAATTAGTTCTTTTTCTTCGTGATTTCGTTTACATATTTTTGTGTGCATATTTGAGAATTGAATTTATGTGTGCTGAATTTGAGTGAATATTATTATATGAAAGGGTTGTATTTGAGATATTAGTTGATATATTGTTTTGTTGATATGAGTTATTGTATACGATTTGGGAGATTTTGTAATAGTACTGTTGAGGGTAAATCCCGTAGATCCGAAAGCCCAACACGAACTTTGGATATATCAGGAATGGCCCAGAATCAAAGCGTATGAGAAAATATAAGATCTAAACTAACTAAAACTCGAAATCTCACTTGTATTAATTAACCAATCTGATTACAAGGAATTTCCCGATCGGTAAGTCGGAAACTATGCTTTAATACAAGAAGTAAGGGCAAATGATGTTATTCTAGAGCTTGAGTATTGAAATGCTAACCCTTACAATGACTTGAAACCTTCTATTTATACTAATGGAGAGCATGGGCTGCCTCTTGCTGATTGGCCGTTGTTCCACCGACTTAGTCATCCATGGGCATTAATTGCACATGGCCACTTGCTGGTTGGCCGTTGCTCGAACGGGATGTTGGGCTGTACTGAAGATGCTGTCAAATTGGCCCAAGTATATGATATATAGTTCGAGCCCCGTTCGGTATGTCTTCTTACTGGGCCAACCTTTATTTGGGCCGAACTCCGTTCGGTATGTTTTCTTACTGGATCTTTTCCATCATAGAGTGATGGGCCCGTTGCTTGGGCCGGATATCTTGGGCCTTCCCGATCTGGGTATTGGGCCTCTAGGTCAATATCTCAACACAAGTCCCCCACTTCCGATGTCTCGAACGAAGTGAGTGCATTAGGAAGTATACCAATACATAATACCCCGAATGGCGATCGGGGTACAGAAGTAATCAGTTCCCCATGCTGCGATTTGACGGTTGCCGCTTCATTTCCCCATATTCATCATGATAACCGTCGTTTAGTCTTTTCATTAGACGCGTGTTTAGCTTAAATGCTCCTAGTGATGTGTCTCTCTCTGATTGGTTCTCGACACGGCGGTTTCAAGGCTATAAATTAGCCCTTAACTTCTCAATTCCGGGTTTCGATTCTGCAATTCCTTGGCCTTCGTTGTTTCCTCTGCAAATTTCCCCCTGCTTCCTTTGCTCAGGTAATTTCCCAACTTTGGATTCTCTATCTTCATTTCTGGCTTCGATCGAGATGAGCCCCAAAGAGTATTCCTCTGATTCGGAGATGGCCTCTCATGGAGATGACCGTGACACTGCCATTGTAGATGCCATCCCAGTTCCGTTTGCCGGTGTTTCTACTGAGACGGCGACGAATACCAGGGCTTAGGCGGAGGACCTCCCTAGCACTTCTTCTTCCTCCAGTGAGGATTCCGATGACACCAAATCCGAGGACGAAATAGCCTCCATGGCGGCCGGACGTCCCAACGATGTTCCTCGCCATACTCTTTTGACCTAAAATTGATTAGGGAGAGGAGGCAAAAATTGACCTCTCACAATAGGGCCGAAATTCCGGCCCTTATCCCTGACCCGGTGGATTTCCGTTTGCAAGCCGGGCTTCACCCAATGCGTCATAGGCCCGGAATGACCATAGTCCACTTTGACTCAATTAGGGCCGGCCTTAGATTTCCGCTACACCCCTTTTTCATTTCTTTCTTCAATTTCTACGAAGTTGTACCAGCCCAGATTATGCCGAACTCTTATCGAGCAATGGCGGGTTTCATTTGTCGTTGCAAAGATGCCGGCGCCCGACCAACCCTAGAACTCTTCCACCAATTCTTCAAAGTAGCCCCCCAACAAACCCATGGCTATTTGGCCACTAGTGCCCGAACGGGACACATCCTGTTCAAAGGAAACCCAACTTCGATCAAAGGGTGGAAAGACCGGTTTTTCTTCGTGTCCATCCCGGACGGTCTGATTCCCCGCAAATGGAATGCCTTTCCCCGCAAAACCCCTGATCATGTTCTCACTGAAGAAATCTACAAGGACGTGCTTGCTGTGGAGAAGGATAAATGCATGGACATCATGAATTATCTGACCCCCGAACGACTTATAACAGCCGGGATAGGTAATGCCCGTTCTCTTGGGTTTACTTGTTTTGATAAACCAAGTGCCTTGGTCCGGGCGGTCCTTCCCGTGCGAGAAACGTTATTTTATTCTTTTTTCTAGTTTCTCACACGCTAGGGCCGCTCGATACTAACATTGTTCTTTGTCTTTTTTCAGCACCAAACCCAGATCTTCCTATGGATGATAGCAGAGTCATCGCAGCCGGTGGGGCCGGAAAACGGAAGAAATCCAGGAAGAATCCACAACCTACTCCCTCCATTATTCCCGCTCAGGAGGTTGCCCCTTCCGAACCGCTTCCAGAGCCTCAGCCAATTCAGCAGGTCCACCAGGATCAATTAGAGGCCATGCTGATCGATGACCGGTTCGGCTCTGACCAACTGCACCAATTTTCCCAGCATTTTGACTCCGTTCGGGGGGAACCCTCGAATGCTGGTGAGACCCATACCGACCATATTACGGGTCAGGTCGAGCGGATCTCCCTATCCGACCCTGTCCATGAGGTATTAGAGAGGGCCGGCTCTACAGCGAGCCAGATCTGGTCGACCTCCTCTTGGTTCAACAACTTTTCCTTTCCTCAGTTGTCGGTCGAGCAATCTGAAGAATGTCTGGCTCTGACTGCTCTGAAGGTACATTGTCTTTTGCGCTTTGTCTTTATTTTATTCTCTGTAATCAGTACTAACTCTCGAACGGTATTCTGTAGATGGGCTTGTACACCCTTCAGATGCGGGAGGCCTGCCTGGCCAAGGAGCGGGAACTGATTGTTGCCCAGTCTTCTGCTGAGCAACATGCTGCTGCTGCCATCGCCTCTCTGGAGGCCGAACGGAAATCCTTTGCGGAGGAAAAGCAGAGGCTGGATGCTGAGCTTGGTACCCTTCGGGTCCAACTCGCAGCTTCCCAGGCGAAGGTCCTGGCTGCTGAGGCCGCACAGGTCAAGTTCGAAGAAATGCCATCCAGCATCCCGGACGGTCCCTATGAAGTGAACGTGGATCTGTCCGCCGTCCGGGATTCGTTTCAATCTTCTGATGAATTCTCCATCATTAAGGATGAACATGCAAGGGCCCAAATCCCGTTCGCCTTTGGGGCGTACTTGAAGGGTTTCCCCAAAGGCGCTGGTCGGCTATCGGCAGGGGTGGCCCTCTTGGATAAGGACCCCGAGGCCAAAAAGTGGAACGACTCCATCGTCTCAGATCTTTATGGCAAAATTGGCCAGGTCTTGCTGCGTCCCTTCGTCACTCAGCTTCAAAATCAACTGGGGAGACCGGTTCAGGCTTCTGATCTCCCCACAGATGACATTATCCAGGCGCAGTTCGAGAAATTTCTGCGAGCCCAGCAACGGGAAGCTGATCGAGCTGCGGGAAAAGAGCCTGAACCCCCGTCTGATGATGATGAGGATGAGGACGAAGAGGGAGATGACATGGCCCCCAGTCAATAATTTATATGTACTTTTTCATTACTTGTTTTATTTTTCTTTTTCTCTAATTCATTACCGGTCAGTAGAACCGATGAATATATATCCCCTTTTTGCCTGAAATTTTGTGTACTATCTTTTCTGTCTTTATATGCCCATTTTGTATTTCTTGCTCAACTACCCTTAATGCCGTTGATCGCCGTTCGGGAATTAGAACGTTATGATTTATTTAAGGAAACCCTTTCTCTCTGGTACTCAGCCGTTCGGGCTTCATACCAAATTTTAGGACTTAGCACATTCTTGCTTCAGATAATCTCTCCTAACGTCAATAGCCGGTCGGGCTTCACACCAATCCTTAGGATAGCTTTTATGATGTTGATAGCCGGTCGGGCTTCAGGTCAATTTTTAGGACTTAGCAGTTTTCTTGGTTTTCTTTGCACCTGGGCTTCATCATAACATTGATAGCCGTTCGGGCTTCAAACCAATTTTTAGGACTTAGCCGTTTTCTTGGTTTTCTTTCCACCTGGGCCTCTCCATAAGTTGGTAGTCGTTCGGGCTTAAGGTTGATATTTAGGACTTAGCATTTTTCTAAACAGCAAGTCCCTGTGATCTTTGCTAATTCTCTGTAAGCCCGTCCGTGGTACGTGCACAAAAAATGAATCATAAATGCCCCAGATTAATCGTAACCACCCAATGTCACGTGTTGCTCATGGATTAGGGATTTGTGCGGCACTTTCCCTATTTATAGAGAGGTGCTTCCCCTAATTTCTCCTGTTGTTTTCTCAT